GAGAGAAGCGCCGACGTCAACGGCGACGGTGAGAGAAGCGCCGACGGCGACGATGGAGAGAAGCGCCGACGCCTTCTGCAACCGTCTCCTCCTCTGCCCGTCCGTTTTTGCTGCGATGTCCAGAGAGAGAGAGAGAAAGCCATGGCGGAGGGGGAAAGAGATCGAACGCCGATGGAGGAGAGAGAGAAAGAGAAAGGCGACGATGTCGATGGAGAGAGAGATGGCGGCGCCGCTACGCTGGAGGAGAGAGAGGCGGCAACCTTGGAGAGAGAGAAAGTAGATCTACTCGTCGGAAAACAGAGGAGAGAGAGACGGTGGTGAGGAGAGAGAGGCGGCGGAGAGAGCTTCGACGACGATGGAGGAGATAGAAGCGGCGCGGTGATGGAGAGAGAGAGGTAACGACGGCTGTAGAGAGAGTCGACGGCGACGTCGGCGGCGGCAGCAGCGGCGGCAGCGGCGTGGAGAGACATCGTATCGTCATCTGAAGGAAGAACAGTGATTTGTATAGTTTGTATGTTTTGTAACATTAGTTTGTATTGTTAGTATTTTTGTACAAAATGTCAGTATGGTTTGTATAGTTTGTAACATTAGTTTGTACTCTTAGTATGTTTTTCTTTGACAGTTTGTACTCTTAGTATGTTTTTTTTTGACAGTTTGTATTCTTAGTATGTTTTTCTTTGACAGTTTGTATTCTTAGTATGTTTTGCTTGTATTCTTAGTATGTTTCGCTTTGTATTGTAAGTACTAATATGTGGACAAAAATAACAAACATTACAAACATGGTTGACAAAAATGACAAACATGTGGACAAAAATAACAAACATTACAAACAATACAAAAGAAACCAACAAACATTACAAACATTACAAAATAACAAACATTACAAACATTGCAAACAAACATTACAAACATTACAAACAAACATTACAAACAGTACAAAGCATACTACACGTACAGAATATCACTACTGACAATACAGATTGGTAAACTTGTATTACAAACAAATGAATACAAAGTATACAAATCATAACATAAAAGTATACAAACTTGAATAACAAAAGTTACAAATTACAATATATACAAAATAGTCATACAAACATTACAAACATGGTTGACAAAAATAACAAACATTACAAACAATACAAAAGAAACCGACAAACAGTACAAAGCATACTACACGTACAAAATATAACTACTTACAATACAGATTGGTAAACTTGTATTACAAACAAATGAATACAAAGTATACAAATCATAACATAAAGTTACAAATTACAATATATACAAAATAGTCATACAAAGATTACAAACAATACAAAAGAAACCAACAAACATTACAAAATAACAAAGTGTACAAACATTACAAAATAACCCGACAAACAGTACAAAGCATACTAAACGTACAAAATATCACAAAAAATGACAAACAATACAAAACATACTAACAGTACAAATCATAACATAAAGTATACAAACTGGAATGATAAAATTACGAAATCGTCGCCGCCTCTCTCTCCTCCTCAACCGCCGCTGCCTCTCTCTCCTCCACGGTCGTCGTCCCTCTCGTCGTTGTTCCTCGCCGCCGCCGCCGTTCCTCGCCGCCGTCGTTGTTGTTACTCGCCGCCACCGCCGTCTCTCTCTCTTCTCCTCTATCGCCGCCGCTCTCTCTCCTCTACGGTCGCCATCGCCTCTCTCTCTCTTCTCCTCTACCTCCGCCTCTCTCTCTCTCTCTCTCCCCCGAACACAGAACGCCGTCGTCCCTGGCCGCCGTCGTCGTCCCTGGCCGCCGTCGTCGTCCATGGCCGCCGTCTCTGTGGATTCATCTCCGCGTGCGACAAACAGGTGAGGGAACTCTTTTTTTTTTTTTTAATTACAAAATTAAAATGTACAATTACTATGTTGTCCTTCCTTAAAATGAATTAATTGTAGCCTTAGGATTTTAATGAGCATGGAAGGCTCAGATTGACTTAGCCAAGTGACTAAGGGTACCCCCCTTAGTCACCTGATCCTAGCCCGGCTGCTAGCCCATCATTTATTATTATAATCACCCCCGCTTTTTTATTTATTTAAAGTCCTTAATACGAAATGTTGAATGCGAATTAAGTTTATCTCGTTTTTTTTTCCAATACGTCAAAATACTTCCTAAGAACTAAAATCCTTGCATTTATTGTCATAACCTCATAATAATCTAAATAAATTTTTATTAACAAAATTATAGTACGAGAATTACGTTCAATGGAACGTGGTAAAAGTTATAATTAAAATGGTCAAAGTTCCTAACGAACTATGTCGACTTTGATCCCGTCTAACGGGTAGGTAGGCAACCGACAAGGTTAGTGTCCAACTAACTTTATCTTTAAATTTTACGTCACGTGGCGTATAATTAAATCTTAAACTAATGCGATAAAAATATTTAATGGTCCTGTGGGACCCTAAAATTACGAAAAATATTACTAAAAATACACCCAACTAATATAAAATTTATCAAATTTAAGTAGTACCGATTCAGGGTGTTGTGGGGTGTGATTTCACTTCCCCACATGTAACCGTACTCCCGAACCCGAATCTCTTAACCGCAGACCATATCTCGGTTCTGACTCTAAGGTAGACCCGACCCAAAGAGTGTTTGATCCACCCCAAATAAAATCGATGGCGACTCCCATAGAGCGAACGCGACCCCCAACGAACCCCGGAGGGACGGTTGCGACATATGGCGACTCCCATAGAGCTAACGGTCGGTGAGTAACGGTGAAACGAATCGTAAAATTGGTGGTGAATATTAAAGAAAAGTAATTCGGGTGGCGAACGTGAAAAATTTATGTAATTTGAATGACCAAATGTGTAATTTAGCCTTTATTTTACTTTATGAATGTGTGTAGACAAGATTTGCTCTTGATTTTTGTTCTTTTAAAAATATGAGGCTGGCCGGAGAAGATTTTTTGGACTGAATTTAAGAAGTGATGTCCTACTTGTATCCAACTACTATGTACTAAGCCTAAAATTTAAAGCGTTCATATCATAAACATTGTAAATGCTGATGATGATAGATATCCATTTTTTATAACACAATATATTGTTAATTGATTAGGTTTTCTCATGAATGAGACCAATAACCAATTCAAATACTATGTGAGATGCCGAAATTTGTTTAGCTAAAGGCTGTTAGACCAATGACCAATAACGCAACCAAATTAGCTGGATATTAGGCATCTTTCTGAGGAAAAATGGGTAAAGGAACACTGACAAGATTTATGAGGATTAGAATGCACCGGCCATGACTTGTTTGAATCAATACGATATCTTCCCACCAATCTTTTTGAAGAAAGGCCTTGGTGATATAAACTAAGCCAGTATCTGGTAGCTAGTGGAGTGGCAAATATGAGTGAGACAAGGTAGGTATGAATATGTCTAGTTCATATTTGTGTTGCCAAATTGGGAATGTGACCACAACCAACATCACCTTTACTCATTAGCTTTTCTCTCACGAAAAGAGGAGGTATGGATTGGTGGGGTTGGTGTCCAAGCACATGGCATTGAGCACCCTAACCTTAGTAAATGTTCCTCCAGCCATCTTTGTTCTTGTGTTTTTGTGTCTGTTACTTCCTGGAAGTAGTAAGAGGAGCATTTGGATTCCTTTTGATCAATTTGGTCTCACTTGACTTGGAAATGTTCCTAGCTAGAGTATGATAGGAACCTGATTCTATATATGTCTTGATTTCATGTGTATCTGGTATTCTATTTCATTGATTATGTTATGTCGATCTCTACTCTATCTTGTATTTTCTTCCTTTATATATTCTGTTTTAACGATATTTTTTTATGACTAAATCCTACTCTATTTTTTTTATGATATATAAAGTGATGAATTAATAGGATAATTCTAAGAAAATGAATCAACTATGATAATAGGATAATTCTAAAAAATTTATCACTTTAATATTTAAGTTTTTAGGGTATAGATTGTTGGAGGGAGGCCCTTATGAATTATGAAAAGACCAAAAGTAGAAATCATAGTGAAACACCATAATTTCAATATGAAGTCAACCCTAATAATTTTGGAAGCTTGAATCATTCTGTAGGTAGGTACTAAGGAGTTGTTTGGAGGTTGGGATTCTCCAAATTGAAGTATTTAATCAATTTGTGTATTGTCATTTGATGTATTGATGAAATGTATGAATTTGAAAAATACATTGTTTGGAGGTTTACATTGTGCTTTGTTATAAATGAAAAAAATAGAGGGTAGACAATCCTTTGGTCACAATCTCACATTTTGATAGAGATTGATAATCACTCATTTTAAGTGATTGTTGGTGGGCCCAGAAAAAATTATACATGTATTTTGCCACAAATTTAACACAAAAAAACGACTTAATCTTGACATTACATGCATTGGCTGAGGTGTTGTTTGGAAGTTGCGATTGTGAGTGTTGTATTTATAGAATACATGCATTGTCCACAATATAATGTTTGGAATTGTCAAATTATGAACAATGCATGTATTGTTTTGTGTGGGTCCCACCTACAATCACAAAAAATGAAGTATTATACAATCTCAACTTTTAGTTGAGATTGTTGTGATTGTTGCTTTTAGGTTTATATCTCATTTTTAGGGTTAATTGTATGGTTGGTCACTGAGATTACAAAAAACGTTCAAGTTTGGTCACTCGAAATATTTAAATCCATTGGTGGTCACTGAGATTACAAAAACCGTTCACGTTTGGTCACTCTCCGTCCAACTCCGTTAACTTTTGCTTACGTGGCGGTCAACTCTAAAAGTTGACCGTTAAATGTGTGACGTGGCAATTAAAAAATAATAAATAAAATAAAATTTAATCTATTTTAATATCCAACTCATTTGTACCATAAAATAAATAAAATATATTATAATCTATTTGACTCTACTGCCTAAATGTATATGCTGTTCTTTGTTCCCACCAAACTTCAAAATGACACAGGAAACTGACCAGATGAAAGGGCGGCGATCAAAGACCCAGAGGTATTCATAAAGGTTTCAAGAACGAATTAAAAAGAGAATGGGCAAGGATGAAGATCAAAACCAGATGGATGATTGTGGTCACGAAATTGAACCACGACGAGCCTTTCGTGCTCCATGAGTCGGCGACAATTGGATCCAGATAGTTGTAATCTGTCGCTAAAAATCCGACGTAGATTCGGAATCCGTTCGGTTCGCCGTTATAGAGCGTGGCGAAGTAGGAAGTCCACAACCTCGCGAAGCTCGCTCCGGCGACGATGTACTCGAACAGAATGCTCCCGGCGGCGATGTACGCCACAAAGTCGCCCAATTCGACTCGAAGATAGGCGTACGAGCCTCCAGTGACCGACAATTCGACGGCGAATTGGCTGTAGCACAAGAAGGAGAGCATCGCGCAGACGCCGGAGATTAAATACGAGACGATGAAAAACTCACCAGCAATTTGAGCTTCAAACAATCGATAGGTTCAGCGCTGCTAGCAGGAGGGAGGCCGGGCGGCGGTGGTTCGAGGACGTAGGTGTCTTCAAGGGCTGCAGAACAAAGCTCCCCCTCGTCCTCTTGGGATGGCAAGAGCTGACGGCGAGAAGACGGTGGTTTGTGTATGGAGAAAGGGAAGGAGCTAGCCTCGATTCGGTGGAACCTCTGGTGTGGATCGAAGACCAAGAGGAATAGCAAGAGCACATCGACGGAGGGTAGAGCGAGGAGCTTAAGGAAATAATAAAATAAATAAATATTTATTATTTCATTTTTTTATTTATAGTAAAATGAGTTGGACATTAAAATAGATTAAATTTTATTTTATTTATTATTTCTTAATTGCCACGTCACTAAGTTAACGGTCAACTTTGAGAGTTGACTGCCACATCAGCCAAAGTTAACGGAGTTGGACGGAGAGTGACCAAACGTGAACGGTTTTTGTAATCTCAGTGACCACCAATGGATTTAAATATTTCGAGTGACCAAACTTGAACGTTTTTTGTAATCTCAGTGACCAACCATGCAATTAACCCCTCATTTTTATTTCTATTTATATCCTTAGTAAAGGGGGAAAGAGTTATATGATGTATGTTAAAATAAAGGGTAAATGTGATATTTTTTTACCAAAAAGTAACTTTATATAAGTGAATCACTAACCTATAAACTCAACAACCAAACAATGTATATTAAATGCAACGATTGTATCAATACATGTATTATATATTGCAATGATTCTTCACAATACAACGATTTAACATACGCAACTTGCAAACGACCCCTAAATACATTGCTTGAAATCACAACCTCCAAACCCCTAAAAAAAACTTTGAACAAATTAATATATCGTTCGTCATCTGAGCAAAGGATATAAAAAAAATATTAAAAAAAGGCCGAAAAGATCAGACCCGTAAGAAGCTGGGCCGCCTTTTTTATTGAGCTCGGAGGATCATGGCTTTATCACACTTCTGGCTCGGCTGCCTGTGCCTGGATTCTGGAGGCGGGTGGATGACGAGAAGAGAATACTGGGCCTATTGAGGAGAGGAAGAAATCGTTTGGGCCGGACAAGGGAGATGGGCCTACTGCCAGCGGGCTGGACCAGATCCGTGATGAACTGAATTTTGTTTTTTAGGTCGGAAAGCGGGACGCTAAAACCGCCGTCCGTCTGGGTCCCACAAAATAACAGAATGGAATGCCACATTACCGGAAAACCTCGCCTTCCTAAGCACTAAGCCACCAGCTGTCAGGGCCAAAATCGTAAACTCACCACCGTCCTCCTCCACAATCCATCGCTCGAAGTCAACGGTTGGTCAAATCGATGCTATCATGATAGGCAAAGGCATAAAAGCGGCGCGAAACGATGCCGGCTTCATGGGCAGGAAGGTAATTTTGTTAACGAAACCGCCTTTACAGTAACCTGGAAACGGGGAATCATAAACCCGAAACATCAGCCCAATAAACTCTCTCTCTGCCCCATTTGCAGTTAGAAAGGTAGGTACAAGGAAAACCAAAATTCAAAACCAGTAGAGAGAGAGAGAGAGAGAGAATGGGGAGCCGAGACGGTGGTGATGAAGCGATGGCAGCGGCGCAGGAGGAGGAGGAGACCGGGAACTTGGTGGAATCGTCTCCCGCAACTGGTGACGGTGGAGGTGGTGGGTCGTCAGACGTTGCGGGTGGTGGCGGGGACTCCGGCGGCGGAGGTGGAAGCGGGGGAGTGGTGGTGAACAGTAGGGTGAAGGGACCCTGGTCGCCGGAGCAAGACGAGGTGCTAGGTAAGTTGGTGAGCAAGTTCGGGGCAAGGAATTGGAGCTTGATCGCTCGGGGGATTCCAGGCCGGTCCGGTAAATCTTGCAGGCTTCGTTGGTGTAACCAGCTTGACCCTTGTTTGAAACGGAAGCCTTTCACTGGTAAGCTTTTTTCTGCTCCTAAATCTCGCTGCCGCTGCCGCTCTCTGTCTCTGCCTTGCATTTTTCCAGCCAGAAGGGGGTTTAGGTTTTCTCAAAGGGCTTTTGCTCTTTCGATCTTGCTTGTGCGATATCCCTTTCGCTTGTTTTTCTTGATTGTGGGGGAATTTTCTTCGGGGTGTTGAACTGTTTGATAGTTTCAGCTTGCCTCTTAGTTTTGCGGAAATGATTTGGGTCACCATTGTTTGGAGATCATTCATGAATTGTGTTGTTGAGATGGGTTTCTTAGTGGGTTTGATGCTGAGGCTGAGTTTTTTTTAGGCGGATAACAAAGTAAAGATCAGCTGATTTTGGTGGTCTTCAATCATCATTCCTCTTCGGCTATCTTCCATTGACTAGTTATAAATGTGTTTCAACCATGTGTAGACTTGAGCGTGTGTCCAGCTGAACTGCTAGAGAAACGCTAGGCTTCATTCACGGGAAAGAAGAACCCAGAAGCTGACTCGGTAGTCACGTTTATGTTAGTTATTTTCATGGTGACTGATAATGACTTTAGTCTTCAAATCCTTCATAAGGGGGCACGTATTGGAGGTTATGCATCTTGTCCTATATTTAGCTTGTGGAGTCAGCAATGTATTGACTGAAGAAGATGACGGATCAGGTACCTGTGAAGGTGCTATAGATGTGGGAACGGCAGATTTAAAGCGAAATAATGTTTCTCAAGTTCAAGCATGGTTTCTTCGAGAAAATAGCATATTTCTTTTTTGATAGTGTTATGGTACTGTTTGTTTGCTATCTCTGACCTTAGAGCATATCTTGATGCTTCATATGTCATGCTTAGTTACCTTCATTGTACTGTTGTGACATTGTGGCTGCATGCTGGATGGCACAAATGCATGTGTTGCATCTGATTGTCATCCTCATTATTGAAGAGATCCAAGCGAGTAAGCATTGGAGAGATGGTTCTTGAAGCAATTCCAATTCATTGTTTTAAAGAAATCAGAGATGTATGTTTATATAATTATACTCTTGAAGATGTATTAGATTCTGTCCATCACTGAGAAGTTCTCCCTGGATGGGCCCTAATTAATGTACACATTGCCTTCTGCTGCTTCTAATCTCTTGATAGTGGTCTACGCTTGGGGTGATAAGACATGGGAACCTTTGATGAGCCCTATCACAATAATCGGACAAATTCCCCTTTGATCAGTTGTTCATTCTCAACTGTTTTTGCTTAATATGCTATCATATGGCTTATGACTCTATTTTGTATTACAACATTGCAGATGAAGAAGACAGTATCATCATTTCAGCTCATGCTGTCCACGGAAACAAGTGGGCAGTAATCGCAAAACTACTCCCTGGTAGAACCGACAATGCAATTAAGAACCACTGGAATTCAACTCTAAGGCGCAGATATTCTGAGCTACCAACATTCAAACGTGCAGCTACCAATGGGATGTTGATGGAAAATGGTAGCTATGACAGAGCAAAGACATCATCTTCAGAAGAGACTCCTTCAGTTGGTGAAGGTAATTCACTAAAGCCCATTGAACAAAGAGATGTTTCAATGGAAGAAAGAACCCAGATGGATGAGGAGATTTGTAAAACGCAGGATGTAGTTCACTATGCCGCCGTCATACCCCAGGAACAGCCTCCTAGCCTTCCTCGTCCTGTGGCAAGAGTCAGTGCATTCAGTGTTTACGTTCCTCCCAATGGCCGAAAAGCCAGCAGCCCAGCCTGTCGCACACGACAAATTCCAGACCAAGAACCTTTAATCCAAGATTCAAAATCCGACTCTGGAATTGGAAAGTTACTTGAAGGTATTTGCAGCGAGCCGATGGTTCCTTCAAAATGTGGGTTTGGTTGCTGCTCAACACCAAGTGGTGGTAGCCAGTCTGGGAGCTCACTATTGGGACCCGAGTTTGTCGACTATGAAGACTCATCACTCCCCTCTTTCTCAAGTCAAGAGCTAATCTCGATCGCCACAGATTTGAACAACATAGCTTGGATAAAAAGTGGGATTGAGAACAGTAATAACAGTTCCTTACCAGGCAGTGCTGCTGCAAGCCCTATCACCCCTCAAGCACCAGTGTTGGCTTCACAAATGGGAGTTCATGAACAGAACTTCAGACATGGCCATATGGACGGTCAAACCAAGTTTGTCGGAACGATGGCAGATCATATGTCGAACTATATGCCTGCTAGACCTTTAGCAATGAGAGCTGAAGTCGAAAGCTTGAGCTAGTAAACCATGCAGCTAAATGTTCGTATTCTGAGATATCCCTTCTCGGGGAGGAAAAGTACAGAGTCTTTCATCATGGCTGGTACTACCGTTTACTTCATATGATTATTTTTTCGAACAGAGGCACATGTATCTTCCTAAAATTGGCTTATAGAGTCCCAGATATGTTACTGATGGTAACTGCAAGGGGGTTTGCTTTTGGCTTTTACTAAGCAGTGAACCTTGTCTATTGCTTCTCCCAAGTTAGGGACGTTTGAAAACTCGGATAAGTTAGATGTTTCATAACCATGCACTGAGAAAACTTCCTGGAATCGTGATTATCTTGTTTGTACCTTAACAGTTTTCCTGATGTGGGCGGTGTTTGATTGAGATGTTTATTTTTGCGAATTTGTCCCGCCTTGTGAAACACGATAATGTGTTTATGTTCATCTTTCATCCGGGGTTGGTCTCAAATGCGGATCAGGTAAGATGGCATGACAGGAGACTTGTTCGTGTTTGGCAGTCTTGATGGTTCCACAGGCCTGTGCTTGAATGTGCTCGAAGCACGCACGAAACTTTGTTGCTGCTCCATTTTCATTTGCCTTCTTCGACTTTGCAGCCAAGTTGGCTGTCGTGCAGATCGAGCACAGTCGTGTTCAAGGTGCCTGGCTGCATTCACCTCCCACGGATGACCGTTTTGGATGTTCTGTAAGACCATTTGATCATCATTTCGAGTGGTTTTGTGCACGTTTACAAGGTCACTTCTACTGCCTTAGTCATATCTGCAGT